CAGCACCGAGCACCCTACAACAACAACCACACCCTTTAAAACGGCATCCATTAATACCCTCAAACCTGCGGCTAATAGAATAAATCACGGGGCTTTGACTCTTTTGTGTACGAACGTTCCAGAATCGCAGTCTAGCACCATAAAAGGGAAGCTAATGGATGACCGTAAACAGTGGAATTCCACTTGCGGTTTATTTCAGTTGTGCTCACGACACTGAGAAGGGTTCCACATCACCCAAAATCAATGCATTACGATGAACCTCGTCTTCTCCGGGTGACAATGTGTTTCACTGACGATACAGAGTCCGTTCCACTGGCTTCGATTTGGCTCCGTAACTCATCAAATGATATGCGCATGCTTCCGGATATCCCTATAACGAGCGTCCTAAAGAGAATAGCAACCAGGAGGAAATTCGTAAATCTGATGAAAAACGGACGATTATTGTTTAAGAGGTTCCTGTGCCTCAAACATCTTCGTCTGAGGATGCGGGGGCACACGAGCGGGCGCAATCGAGTTACATCCGCCAGGAACTCTCGACAGTATCGTTGCAAAGTGGTTGGCAAGAATTCCAGTTTCGCCCAACTACAAGGGGAACCGTTCCCGGCTGCTGAAGGCGATACTTCAGTGTGAACTAATGACACCACTTATATTGGATAATTGGTCTAAACTCCGCAAGGCGCTGCCTACGAATGTTCAGTTAAGTGCATCGAGTACAAGGCAAGGGGTGGCTAACGACTCATTGGGGCGACTAAACTGGCGAATCTTCCCTCATTCAGCTCTGTGTATGGATTGATTTAATGGCAACCTTAGCATCTGACGGAATAGGACAAAACACGGGAGACCAGCAGGGCCAGAACAGCCGAGGGCAGTTATATAACCCGACCAGACTTCAAAGGCCAACGACTCCGCAAAAATAACAGCTAGTTGCCGTACCCTCAACGGTCGACACAATTTCCAATCTTACTCCAACGTCCAATGATTCACTTTTGGTTACTGAGAAACTGACATGCTTATATACTAACCCACAAGGCCTTATTAATAAGTTAGTCGAACTCCGTCAGCATCAGGCATCCGAGTCTCGAGATATAATAATGATCACCGAAACCTGGCTGAGCTGTGAACTTACCTACGCTAAAATCGCTCTACTCGGTATGTCATTCCTCTGTAACGACAGAACAGGTAGGGGGAGCGATCATTTATTACAACACAAACCTTCGTTGTGAGCCCACAGATGATCTTCAAACTTATGTCACTGATCTCCTTTCGTGCAAACGGTGTTTGAAGGACGACGATATATGCATCGTGCCCACTCCGGAGGTGGGCCACAGACTAATATCTGCATTCCACATTGTGAGTAATCAGTAATACACCCACATACTCATTTCTGGAGATTTCAACGTCCATGGTTAGGAAACTACAGCAACCGAAGCGAAACACTTCAAGGCCTATGTACAAGAGCTAATCTATAGCACACCCGTATACAGCAACGTCACTGATCTCACCAGGTTCATAACAGCGAATAAGCCATTAATGTGAGATATAGTGCTCACCAGCAAGGAGCTCATGTTGATGGGCTAAATGTGTGCAGCAATTTTGGCCGAACCTATCTTGTGACTCTACTGTTCAATTACATTTGCTACTCCCAATACCCTGATGTAGAGCCCGAAGAGATGCAGTGTATTAAACATTATCACGCTTTGTCCGCATTCGTTGAAAATGCTAGTCGAACATTTGTGATAGATCGCACCCCAGAGATAGCCTGGAAAAATTCTTGAAAATCTTCGTCACTAGTCACCAAAACATCAGAGCCAAATTCTTTCCACCGTCCCATTAAACCAAAACCTATCCTGAGAAACCGAACACGACAATTCATGGCCTTGAGGGATCGGACTTGGCGCCTTTACAAAACATTCCCAGCACAAAAATTAAACAACGTGCATAGCTCAGCGCAATTGTTGTATACAGTTGGTTCGTGAAGACAAGTCATCACACCAACAGGAGCTAGCGAAGCGATTCCGTTCGTTCCGCAAACTTATTTACAGGTACGTGATTGGACTTCAAAAGGCGCAGCACGGAGTCCCACCGCTCACTACGGTAGAATAGTATACACACACAGCAAAACATGCGGCCAACACCTTACGGGCCCAGTACTTGCCTACCTTCCAGTGGATTCAAGCCTCGGACACTGTACTTGTTTTTGTCAGCACACCATCAGTATTATCCAGCAGAAACCACTGAGAAAACTACTATCCTTGCGTACATATAGCTCTTCTGGGCTGGATAACGTTTGCCCTAAAGCACTGCAGGTAGCATGTAAGCACCCAGCCCAACCACTTTTCGGATTATTTCAGCGTTGTCTCGATGAAAACGTAGTTCCGTCAACGTGGGAACTAGGTATTATAACCCCCATTCACAGGAGAAGTCGATCTGATCCTGCCGATTACCGTCCGGTAGCCGTTCTCCCTGTTCTCGCCAAAGTCACGAAAGCGATCATGACGGACGTACTGATGGGCTACCTGGAAAGCTCTGGCATCATTTAGCCGGAGCATCACGGGTTTCCTTAACATCGATCATGTACCACGAATCTGCTGATAGCACGTGACAATTGGACCGAAACAGTCGACGACGGGCTAGGAACCGCTGTTATCTACATAGACGACTCGAAAGCCTTCGATCGCATGGATCATCAAATCCTCCTGCACAAACTGCAGCTCAACGTCATCGGAGATCCACTATTAAGATTGATTGATAACTTCCCCCTCAAACGACAATTGTCGGTTAGAATCCGAACATCTCTGTCCGACCCGATTCGACTGGAGTGCGGCGTACCGCTTGGTTCGGTACTTGAGACTTGTCTGTTTTTAGTTTTCACTAAGGATCTAGCGAGGGCTATCGCCTTAAAGTTTTTACGTTTCGCGGACGACGTTAAAATTTGGCGGGCGATCAAGGGAATGGATTACCATGAGATCCTCCAGCGCGACCTCGATGAGGCCTGGCATTGGTCGATGAGGAATTTACTGCTATGCAACGTGGACAAGTGCCGCGTTGTCCACATCCGCCATAAGCACGCTTATATCTACAAACTTGGGGCGCACGATCTGCAGAGAAGCTCTTAGGAACATGACTTCGGTGTGCTAGTACAGGACAGAATTCATTACGAAAATAGGTAACCAGCATGTTGGTCTCTTGAGGAGGGCATTTGGGAGTTTTGTTTCATCCACCCTCTTCTTTACTCCGAGTGCCTACGTGCGTCCCCACGTCGAATACGCAATCCAGGCTTGGCATCCTTCGCTAAAGCATGACCTTGCAGCACTCAAAACTCCCCAATGTCGAACAATGGATTGCACAACCTTCCGTACCAGCAACGACTGAAGACACTCTGATTGTTCAGTGGACTCTATAGGCGACTACGTGGAGACCTCATATTAGTTTACCAACTACTGAGCGACCTCACACACGGATGCCGCCACATACTGAAACACAGCCCGAACACCAATAGTCTGAAACTGAGTCAACAATACAGTCGCCTGGATTGTCGAGGACGGTATTTCTCCCCCTGGGTCTACCAACCCTGGAACGCACTTCCAAACTCAGTTGTCTTTGCCACCACATTAACTGTTTTAAAAAAAGGCTGGATATCAAATTGGGCACCTTTGTTGCTTGAGCCGATATTCTGCATTTATTCTGCCTAATTAGCCACTTTGGAATTATGACCTACAGTGACGCACGTAAATTTGTGCAGAGAAATGAGCAGTCTGCTTGCTACTTCTGTGCGTATTAACCATCACAACTTTTTATTTGGTCTTGGCTTTATTATGTCACTCTCATAACCACCCTTAACACAATTACTCTGTCGCTTTGCCTATACGTATTTTATTTGGTCCACTCATGCTATATTCAAGCTTCAGTTTCTTCTGTTAAAATCCTGCGGGACATGTTAAGCTTATGCTCATTTTACCCGTCATAAACCATTGTTCCATTGCCGTCTGCTGACCGACCACTATTTTTAACTTACCTTTATTATCACACGTTAGGTCAGGTTTATTGTGACGCTATTTTGAAATTGTGTCATTCAATAACATTGCTACGACACTTTGTGGATGTTGCAGTCATAACTGGTTCCTGTGATGTCTCGCTTACACTTGCTGGGGCATCTGATGGGCATTGTTACACTGTATCTCTTTGTTTACAAAAAGACACTAGCAAACCTTACGATTTGCTTCGGCTACTTCACGTTTCGCCTCTTCCTTATTAGTGGACTCCGTATTTCTTATCAGCGGTGTATCGAGATCGAAATTACTTTGCAGTCACTATTAGCATCGGCATGCATCATCGCATTCCGGAATGGAGACCGCGGAATGTTATCTTAGTGGTTGGGTGCAGCACTATCGGAAGATCGGTGGCACTCATACGTTCAGTACCTAGTATTTCGTTTTTCTCACTCGGCAACACCCCATTTGGTTTTGGTCACTTTGCTTGATTTCTCTCATTTCAACACAGTTTGTGCTGTATCTCACTCTCATGGTGATGTGGGGAAAAAAGCTAACTCCGTCTACCAGATTTCGAACCTCGGATCACAGGTGGGCAATTAAGAGAGTCAAATTGACTTTCCGCCATCTCGTCGCATCTATACAGACCAAGCAACTGCAAAGCAAACTACCGCGTTAAACAGCTGGCGGTTTTACCCGGCTATACCACATCTGCGGGTACAAACAACTTTGTGTTACTTTGTTGACTGTAGTACCATCAGAGAAATGCGATCCAGATAGATACTACTGCATATGACAGGGGTCTTTTTTCATCTGGCAACATGTAAATCTGATACTGCAAAACCAGTTACGATCGCGACCCCTCGTTATCACTTTTTGGATCTAGACGTTTACCGACTCGTTCAATTCTGGTGTTGTATTCGTTGGCTCATAAATGAACTTTGCCGATAGCAAATAATGAATGTTTATCGTGCTTCATGTGTTTTTCTTACTCTCTTTTCTCGTCATCAGGTCATGCGCGTCTTGGGTTCCTTGCAAACCAATAGAGCCCCGCTATGTTGCAGTTCGCCCATTCCATTTACGCGTAACGTCCCTTCTTCATTCATGCGAATTGATGGAAGGTTGCAAACCGTATCATTATCACCAGCTCGCACTCTGTTGTACCTCCTTGGCCACAGGCTGTCTGAAGTACTCCAGGCTCTCCAGCTACCTTCTCGCCTGTGTTTGTTACCGGCTGTGATTATCGGTTAGGTTCGGTTCGGTTGAGTCGATTCGTTGGTGGTTTTCCTTCTCATTTGCTCATGTATTTGCCAGCTCATGCTTGTGCACTTGGCTTTGGAAGCACCAGCACCCGGTTGCTGTGATCAGCTTTTTTCTTATTTTTTATTTGCATTTTTACTACCTGTTCTCATTTTACCTTGTAAATACGACGACTTACATAGCTCCTACCGTCTCCTACAACATTTTCAAGAGAGCGAATTCAATGCTTAAGCAGTGGATTCAGCCATTCTGTTACAATCCGTAACATTACAGCCATCTGCGACGGATGGTCATGCAGGCACACCGAATAGTGTTCAGCGTTTCCTTGCACAATACACACTTGTCCTATAGCGTTATCATCTCACGCGCCCCATGTTCGCAACTATACCCGATGTATCGCTATACATTCATAGAGTATAGCAACCAAACAACTGCAGCATGCTATTGCTGCTTTCAAATTGGTGCTCTGATGCACCCGGAATGGGGAGTGGTGAGGTAGCGAATATCAACTCTAATCTTTTCCCCTATGAATTGTTTGACGAATGGATTGCTACGTAGGCATGTACTCGTAGGAATGTTTTCATCGTTCTGCAATCTTTGCATCCTCTGTTTACGTCGTTTCCAGATTAGCACCATGACTCGGACTCCAGCTAGGATATTTATATGAACTAAGTTTCGATTAGTTGTCCACTAGTTACCTCGGGTACCTGTTGAAGCTCGTGTCAGTGAGTCTTTAAGTGCCATACAGTCGGACCCTTCAAAGATGTGAATATCCAGTTCAGAGTCCTTTTTGACAGTTTGGTGGAACAAGGTCGCATCTCTGCCACCTATTAGTCGGCGGGTGTCTGAATGGTTTATTCACCTTTCTATTGATCTACAGATCGCATCAACAATACTGCATAAGCGCAAGCAACTTCGCAGTATCTCTAGACCGCGAGGGCGGCTGGGGGCCTTGTTGCAAGGAAACGCCATTACGAGGCACCGGTGGTGCCTTCTAAGTCTGTTGCATGGATCGTTTCATTAAATGGTCATTAACGTGATATAAGTAAAATGACTAGCTACTAGGAAAATATGCGCCCAGTATACCAACGAGCGTGAACTGTTGGTTCAAGATAAATGCGAATAGGCCAGCCGGTCACATTGGATTCTTCGTTGATGCCGTACCCGTCTGCACAGTTTAGTGAATCGACCTGGTAAAAGTGTACGGCCAACAAGAACAAAGGGGTGGTATTTTGAAGACCATAAAAAATCAATTTGACAAAGAAAAAGGATGGACCTTCCTAAGTTGACAACAACCTGGCAGGTGCAGCATGCACCAACCGCAGTTGCGAGATCCGATGCACCCGCTACCTACCAGCCGCACCTTTTTTGGCGCGGATTTGTTCTTCATCGTTTTGCTGCGCAACATCAAGCTTGCGGTCATTCGACTCGTACTTATCAGTTGTACAATGTGGTTAGTTTATTATCGGATTATTCTCAACGCCTCCATATTTCGTTCAGTTCGTTCGTTTTTGCGGAGTTCCTGAAACTTGCGCGTGCAACTATTTCACTTTCAGTTGCTTGTCTGCTTACAATTGGTCGAAAGAGCTTGCTCTAAATAGCTTAGAGTACTATTCGTCCAACTCCGCGTGTATACATGACATCATATTTTGCATCGAGCATGCGTGAAATCGCTCACTTCTATTAATCCAACATCCCAAGGCGCGAAGCATCCAGTTCACGGAGTCCACCGAAATCGGCGCATCGTTTGCCCCCTTTTGCATGACTCGCATGCACCGCGCTTCATGTCAGAATGTCTACCCGGTTCAAAAGATCAGTCACGATATCCCGCTTATGTATGTGTGTAAACGACCACCTTGCTTGTTTTCTAAATTTTGACGAGGACGCGGTCGAGTTCCGGGTGCGACGCAGAACGAGGACGCAATTTGAATTAAATCAAGTTAGCCGTAGCTGAAGAGCATTTACGGCTGTGGAAAATAGTTCAAACTCGGTCACTGTGTTCTGGATGTAACCTATATCTTCATGCTGTATGTGACCGACTGTCGGCAAACGGAGTAAAAGAGTTGAACAGTAAAGCAATCCTCCTTTGGTTCTGTACCGACTGTAAGGTGCCTATGAACAATGAACAATGATTTATCACGAGATAAAAGCAAGTGCTTGACATGTCCCGTAGGATGGTAGCGGTGAATATGATGCAATTAAAATATGTGTGGGTCATCTATCGAACGTCTGCCGAGATGAATACTTTGATAATTAACATCAGTGTAAAAGGAAAAAGAAATATCGCGCGTAAACACTCAGAAAGACAGTGGGGCGCTGTGATAGTTGAGGTAAGGAGTGAGAAAATAAAATATGGTCGCTCACTTAGGTCCATTTGATACATTAGTCCTGTTGAAAACATGCTTGGCGTAATCCACAACAGAGGAGCTTAGGTAACAAAATGTTGGGAGCTGAGGGCAACATCTAATCGTTTTTTGAAAACATCCAGGGTAGGAGAGGATACAACTGAGTCTGAGAGTGCGTTCCATGGTTTGCAAACTCGAAGGGAAAAGTCATTCCGTCGACACTCTAGACGGCTATATTGTTCCTTCAACTTTAAGCAGTTACCCCTGAGCTGCGTGTTGTGGCTAAGTTTCAGCAAATGGCGGCATACGTGGTTGGGGTCACTCAATATTTGATACGCTAATATGAGATCGCCGCGCAGCCTTCGATAGCGTCCGCTGAAAATTCCCAACAACTTCAGCCTTCGGTGGTAAGAGTGATACCGCAGGCCCATCACGTTCTTGGTTGCTCTCCGTTGTGGTGCCTCTATCGCTTCTAGGTCGCGTTTCAACCAAGGTTGCCAAGCTTGGATTGCGTACTCAACTTGCGGGCGCACGTAGGAATTGAGCATCATTGGGAAGAATGATGGGTCAAATCTCCCGAATGCCCTTCGCAGCATGCCGACGTGCTGGTTGCCTCTTTTGGCAGCTACCTCAGCCTGTTTTGAACAGTTGAGGTCGCTCTGTACGATCACACCAAGATCACGTTCTTGGGAGCTATTCTGCAATTCCTTTGTCCCAAGTATGTAGGTGTAGTTATGTCTATGGCGTAATTGTACTACGCGACATTTGTCTACGTTGAACGGTAGAGCGTTTTGAACTGACCAGTTTGACACTGTGTTAAGATCGTGCTGGAGCCGTTCATGGTCATCCGGTCCTCTGATCCTTCGCCATATCTTGATATCATCAGCGAAGAATAGGAAATCGGAAGTAATTTATCTCGCCAAATCGTTAATGAACACCAAGAATAGACGAGGTCCAAGAACCGAGCCTTGTGGTACTCCACACGTCACGTCGATTGCATGAGAAAATGATTCTCGGACTCTCACCACTAGCCGTCGTTCTTGTAGAAAATTGCTAATCCAACTCAGGATTGGATCGCCAATGCCGTAGTTCCGAAGCTTCTGAAGGAGAACTCGATGGTCTAAACGATCAAACGCTTTTGAAAAGTCCAGGTAGATGACATCGACTCCAACTCCATCATCAACAGCTTCAGTCCAGCTATTACGTGCAATTAATAGGTTAGTGTTACACGAATGCTTTTGACGAAAGCCATGTTGCTCTGGGGCTATTAAATTGTGGCTTTCCAAATATTGCATCAGCGCGTCTGCGACGATTGATTCCATCACTTTGGATAGTACGGGAAGTAATGTTATTGGACGGTAGTTCGCAGGATCAGTGCGGCTGCCTCCTTTATGGATGGGAGTGATGACCCCTTGCTTCCATACTGGTGGAATAAGGTTTTCCTCTAGACATCGCTGATAGAAAACAGCCAGTGGTTCTGCTAGATCACTAGCTACTGCCTGTAGAGCCTTTGGTCGGATGTTATCAGCTCCGGGAGAACTGTGGATACGCAAGGATAACAATTTCTTCAACACAGCCTCCGTAGTGAAGGTGATGTTTTCTAAACCAAACGGCGGAGTATTAGAAATGAGGTGAATGTTTGGGCTCGACACTTGTTGGAACGTTTGAGAGTAATGAAGCCGTAGGAGATCAGCTGCTTCCATTGCTGACCGCGTGTATCCATCAGCTGTGACTAGCGCCGGAACCCCTCGCTTTACCTTTCGAAGGCCGTTAATGTGCCCATACAGGAGTTTGTGGTTAGTGCAGAATCGCTTCATTAACTTCTGCTGATGCGTGACCTGGTCTTCGCGGATCAGTTTCACACAGAAGTTACGATGTGTCACGTATGCAGTCCAGGTTTCGGCATTCGGGCAACCCTGGTGATTTCGCCATGCCAAATCCCTCCGGGACATACATTTACGTGTTCTGCTCCTCAGAAATGACTTACTCTGGTTTTTGGGTTGGAAGGACTTCTGTTCCGATGCTTGCGCTACCAGTGTGCTCAAAGTCCTTGTAAACATATCCCAGGCCAAATCTGGGGGGCATTCGAATAAGAAAGTCCAAGATGTATCCTTAACAAGCTTGGACAACACATTGTAGTGCGTGACAGTGTGCACTTTATCCTCCTCCTTTTCCGGGTACTCGGCATAGCATATATAATCAAAGAGTAGAGTGACATGATCACTACGACCCAGTGGTGTGCTTGTAACTATCCCGCCAACCATGAGTTCTTCGTTAGTTAGCACAAGATCTAGTATCGACGGCTTGTTAGAAGTTCGAAATCTGGTGGGAGAGGTTACGTGGTTGTAAAGAGGGTGGCTAGCAATAAGTTCTTGCAAATTGGCTTTAAACTGCGTACCGTCAGTTGCCGGCGTTTCTATGTCGTGCACGTTAAAGTCTCCCGCGATAAGAATGTGGGTGTAGGACTTGTTCAAAGCAAACTGAAAAACGTGGTACAGTTTGGAGTCCATTTCCGACGTTGAGTTTGGCGGGCGATAAACCACGGCTAGTAGACATGTGTCCTTGTTTCGCAACCAAAGGCGGCACCAAAGCGAATCGGGAGCTCGGATTTCTGGGTGATCGATAACTTCACATCGGAGGCTTGTATTATAGTAAAGAATCACACCGCCACCCATTCCGGTTCTATCGGTCCGAAGCAGCGACATACCGGGTAACTTGATCTCACAGTCGGTTATCTCAGGGTTTAACCATGTATCTGTAATCATGACGAGGTCTCGTGGTTGTGAGGCATGGAGTTCTCTAAGTTCGGCCAACTTGATTCGAAGGCCTTGAGCGTTTGTG